CTCAGTGTCTGAATCTGCCACCAGCTCTGCTGGCCGCTGGCAGACCACAACACCAAGACAGGGGCCCAGGGGGAAGTAGAAGCAATCATAGACATGGGCTGTACCCACTGTCTGATCAGTCTGCCCACAGTCCTGAAGTTGGGAATCAAGATGAGGCTCCTAGCCAACCCCATACGCTTCGAGCAAGTCGATTGGTCGCTGATAGGAGGAGCCCCTGCCACACTCCTCACTGAATCTGTAAGATTAGAGGTGGACAGGCACTGGGAGCTGAACCAGTCCACAGTGGCGCCAAAAATGACACAAGCAGCGATTTTGGGCCTGGCATGGCTGGACAAGCAGGGCCCCACCATCTCGTGGGAAGGTGACTACAGGAAACTGAAGCTGGGAGCCTCCTCTCCCCCCTCCCGACACTGCTGGGAAAGAAACTGTCCAGTGACTAAACGGCACTAAGAGAAGCGAAAGAGCTGTTGCCACCTCAAAGCCACCCCTGGGCACACCCCAAATCCCCAGGGAATACTGGGACTTAGCCGAGGTGTTCAGTGAAGAGGATTGCAATGCGCTATCCCCCCACCGCCCCACAGACTGTGCCATAGAAATCGCACCGGGGCAAAACTACCCAAGCCAAAAATGTATTCCATCACCCCCAATGACATGAGAGAACTGAGATGAGAGAACATCAACACCAACCTGGCCCGGGGATTCATACAGCCGGCTAAATCCAGGGTGGCTGCCCCCATCCTCTTTAAAGAGAAAAGACGGGTCAATGAGGCTCTGCGTCGATTTTAGGGGAATTAATGGTGTATGTGTGGAGAACACGTACCCACTCCCCCTCACGAAAGACATGCTGGCACATCTAGCCAAGGGAAACTAGTCCTATGAGAGGCATACTACTGGGTGCAAATCAAAGGAGGAGACAAGTGCCTTCAATTGCCCCTTAGGAAATTTCCAATTCAAAGTAATGCCCTTTGGCTTGCAAGGAGCCCCCACAGTCGTTATGCAACTGATAGAGGTGTTATATGAGCACCTGTATAAAGGAGTGCTCGTGTACCTAGATGACATTCACATTTTCATTGAGACCCTAAAAGACCATGTTAAATTGGTGCGTCAAGTATTGGAAGAAAAACTTGTGGCTAAACTATATGCGAAGTTGTCAACATACGAATTCCACAAGACTAGCCTGGACTACCTGGGCTACCGAGTGTCAAGCGAGGGTGTGGAAACGGACCCGGCTAAAGTTAAAGTGGTCTTAGACTGGCAACCCCTTCGCACATGAAAACAGCTTCAAAGCTTCTTGGGATTTGCTAACTTCTATAGGCAATTCATTCCCTCCTTTGCTGAAATTGCCCTGCCCATCACCGAGCTTTTAAAGACAGGGGGAGGCCCTCAGCAACCACAACCAAGCCAACCTCTAACTTGGACTTTAGAACATCAGCTTTAGAATTCAAGGCGCTGAAAAAGCTCTTTGCCAAGGAGCCAATCCTCAGACACCCTAATTCAGAACAGCTCTTCATAATCCAAGCCAACGCCAGCGACGTGGCCATCGCAGCAGTCCTCCTTCAGAGGAACACCAACAGTGACCTGCAACCCTGTGCATACACCTCCAAAAAATTGACAGAGACTGAGAGAAGATGGGTGGTATGGGAGAAGGAAGCCTATGTGGTCCGATGGGCCCTACTGAACTGGAGGCACTTTCTCGAGGGCAGCCTCATTCTGTTTGAGGTGTGGACTGATCACAAAAGCTTAGAAACCTTCAAGACCCCATGAAAACTCTCCTCAAAGCAAGTTAGTTGGGAGCAGTACTTCAAATGATTCAATTTTTAACTAAAATACATCCCTGGGGGAAAACCTCCTGGCAGACACCTTTATCACACAAACCACAGTACAACAGTAGACGTGAAGAGGTGGTTCATGCCATGATTCCCCCCTCCCAACCTGCCTCACAAGCCACAACCAGAGGACAGGCTAGACAATGGAGAACCACAGATGGGGAGGGGTGACCAAAAAGCTGAGGGACGAACTGCCAGCCGACCCCGGTACAAAGATAACAAAGACAAACTGACCCTGAGAGATAGTCTAGTCTGGAAAGGCTCCAAATTGTATGTGCCCAACAGCCTGCAACTACAAATGCTCCAAAAGAGTCATGATTCTAAGTAGGCAGGGCACTTTGGCTATTTGAAAACTCTGCATCTGGCCAGAAGGCAATTTTGGTGGCCAAAGATGAAAAAGGACATTGACGACTATGTTAAAAGCTGTGCCACTTGTGCAGCCATGAAGAAGAGGTCAGGAAAACCCCTTGGGTTGCTCCAGCAAGTGGCAGATCAGTCGTGACCCTGGGAAGAAATCACCATGGACTTCATTGTCAAGCTTCCTGAGACTGGCGGGAATACGATCCTTTGGACCGTAATAATTTATTCTCAAAGCAAGCCCATTTCATAGCTTGCCCAGGCTTCTTGTCAGCAAAGAAGCCAGCCAAGCCGTTCGTAAGGCAGATTTATAGGTTGCATGGCATTCTCTGCAGGATAATCTCAGACAGGAGGGTCCAATTCACCGCTAAGTTCTGAAGGGAATTTATTAGGTCCATTGGGTCTTTGCAGGGGCTTAGCTCAGCCTTTCATCCAAGTACCAATGGGGCTGTGGAACGCACAAACACCTTGGTGGAGCTGTACTTGAGATGCTATGTCAACTGCCAGCAGTCTAACTGGGCAGATCTGCCATTCGCTGAGGTGGCATACAATAATGTGGTTACAGCAGCACAAAACCGAGCCCTTTTCAGGTCATCAGTGGCATGGAATTTGTCCCCATGCCTGAACTCCCCAGGAAGCCCCCCTCATCAATGTCACTAAGCGAGTGGATGGTGTCACTGAAGAAAGCGTGGGAAAATACCAAGCGGGCTTTATGAGAGGTGGAAAAAAACCATAAAATGCAAGCCGAAAAACGCCGCAACCCCCAAGTGCTATTCCAAGTGGAGAGTAAGGTTTACCTCTCTACGAAGTACCTGAAGTTGAAACTCCCTTGCAAAAAACTAGGACCAAAGTTCATAGGGCCTTGTCCTGGAGTGAAAGTAATCAACCCTGTTATGGTACAACTTAAACTCCCACAGTTTATAGCAACTTGTTAAAGCCAGTGGTAGGCTCCCAGATCAGACTAGTAGATCGGGCAGCTCCAAAACAAATAGTGGTGCAACAGGAAGTGCATTATGAGGCAAAGAAAATCCTAGATTCTGGATTACATAGGGGCCGATTACAGTACCTAGTGCAATGAAAGCTGTATCCCCTGAGGTCACATGGGTTAAGACTTGGGATGTGAAGGCAGATAGGTTAGCCAAACAGTTTCATGACGAGTACCCCCAGAAACCCAAGGGGCCTCCAGGGGGAGGGAGAGGGGGTTGGATTGAACCTTGAGTAACCTCTGTGATTTCTTTTCTTCACAGGAAGTCCTTTTTAATTAAGGCGGGGTGGTGGTGGTGCCTGTCAACTCTGAAGCTGACCTGACCGAGGCCATTTTGAGGCTTCAGTGTTGCCACACTGGAGCTGAGGGATAGAGAGGGGGGAATAGAGATAGTTGGGGTTTGTTGCCAAAACAACATACTTTCTCCTGGGAACCAATTACATTTCCACGGGTGGCTGGAGAGAGGAGGAGCGATGTTACCAGGCAACTGGATGGGACCTTGATTGGACCATATGACTGATTGTTTGGGAAAGGGGAAAACCTTTTTACTTTTTTAAAAAAATAAACTTTATTGATCTTTTATATCTTTAAAAACCGAACAAAAAATATACATATTATGACATCAACAGTGTGTGACATCTATCTCATATACTTCTATTTTGTGCTTATTTACAAATATATACACTTGGTGTGAATACAAGCTATAAGTTGCTTATCCTTAATTCTTCCATCATCCATCTGTCTTAACTCAATCCGATCATACCATTTTTCCCAAATTCTATAATATTCAGACTCCTCTTTCTCTCATAGCATCCGGGTTAATTTATCCATCTCAGCACATGCCATTACTTTTTGAATAATCAATTCGTCTGATGGTATACAATTATGTTTCCAACATTGAGCATAGGCAACTCTAGCAGCTGTTAGAATGTGTAATATTATATATTTTTCCCACATTTCTTTTTAAATATCCCTAACAAAAATAATTCTGGTTCCAAATCTATTTGTTCCTTGAGGATCTTTTGCAACCAATTTTTAATTTTAAGCCACTATTTCTGGGCTTCTAAACAAGACCACCACATGTGATAAAAAATACCCTCTTTCTTCTTGCACTTCCAACATGCCGGGTTCATGTTAGGATAAATCTTTGCCAATCTCGCAGGGGGCAGGTACCATCTATAAAACATCTTATAGATGTTCTCTTCATATGAAGCCGATTTTGTTAATTTAAAATTTAGGTTCCAAATGCTCTCCCACTCTATCAAGCTTATGGTATGTCCAATGTTTTGAGCCCAGGCTATCATACATCCCTTAACCACCTCTTCTTCCAATTCTACATCTAATAGATATTTATAGATTCTTGTAATATTTTTTTATCTGGGCCTGTTAGGATTTTATCTAATTGTTGTAATTCCAAATATATTCCAAAATCATCTATATCTTTTTTGTACCTATTTTGTAGCTGAATATATGCCCACCAGTCTATGTGTATCCCTTGTTTTTGGAGGTCCTGGATCGATTTTAAGTTTCCTTGTACATCTAAAACATCTTTATATTTTGTCATTTTACACAGGTCTAAATTGTTTGGGTATATCATTGTCGATAACCAAATTGGAATTTTCATATGATGTTTTCTTTCTAATTTTGATCCAGTTGTGTAAGACAATCTCTAATCAAATGCCTATGGAAATATTGTTGTTTTTTAGTTCCTGTTTCCTACAAAAAGGCATGCCATCCTCTCTGCAGGTCATGGCCCTCTAAGCTTAATATTTGCTTATTAGTTAATTAACCCATTTTTTAATCCAGATTAACGCCATTGCATTGTAGTATAACTCCCAATTTGGAAGTCCAAGTCCCCCTCTGCTTTTAATATCTTGTAATGCTTTCATCTTTATTCTAGATTTTTTGCCCAACCAAATAAATTTCGCTGTAATTTTACTAATCTCGCTAAAGATTTTTTTTTCTAATTTAATGGGGATTGTCTGAAGGAATTTGGGTAGAATGGACATTTTAATGGCTTCCTAATAGTGAAAATTGTAATTTCGCCCATAGGTATAAATCTTTCTTTGTTTGTTGTATAAGTTAGTTATAATTATTCTCCTTTATTGTTATACATTGAGCAGTCAGCCATACACCTAAATATTTAATTTTCTTTGTTATTTGTAGTCCCATTACCTTTTCTAATTCTATTTTTTGTAATTCTGTTAAATTTTTGGTTAAAAGTTTTGTCTGCTACTTCCCTGTATCTTTCCAATTCTTTAATTAACTCCTCCCCTGTCTCTATCGGATCCTCAATAAAGAACACCATATCGTCTGCAAAAGCTTGCAGTTTGTAGTCTTCCTTTTTGACTCGAGTTCCTTTTATTCCCGGGTTTTGTCTGATTTGTCTTAGTAAGGTTTCTAGTGACAAGATAAAAAGCAGAGGTGACAGAGGACAGCCTTGTCTTACTCCTTTCCTTATTTCAAAATTCTGGGTATTTTCACCATTTATCATAATACTTGCCTTTTGGGTGGAATATATTGTTTGTATTATATTCTTGAATTTGGTTCCTAAATTCATATTATAAATTTGTTGTATCATAAATTTCCAATTTAAATTATCGAATACCTTCTGGGCGTCCAAAAAAACAAGGGCCACTTGTTTCTCTGGGTGGGCTTCATAATATTCCGGAACATCTAATGCCATCCTTAAGCTATTCCTAATAGGTCTAAATGGCAAAAATCCGTTTTGGTCTGAATGGATATATTCATTCAATAATCTCTTCAATCTGTTCGCTATTATGGTCGCAAAAATTTTATAATCGGCATTCAATAAAGATATAGGTCTATAGTTTTGGATTAATCTATTAGCCATGTCCTCCTTTGGGATTAGCGAGATATAGGTTTCCCTCCATGATTCCGGCATTTTGGCTTCTATCAAAACTTCATTATATAGATCCAACATCAATTGTCCTAATTGTTCTTCCATCATCTTAAAGAATTGCCCCGGGAGACCATCTGGTCCTGGTGTTTTGTTATTTTTCTGATTTCTAATTGCCTGGCTCAGTTCTATAATAATTATATCTTTAGTTAAATTTTCCCTCAATTCTTCTACTATTAATGGACTTCCTTCCTCTTTCAAGTATTCTCTTATCTGTTCTTCATCTACCTCCTCACTTTTATACAAATTCTCAAAATATTGGTATGCAATCCTTTTTTTCCCTTCTATTGTGTTGGAATTCTCCATTTTCATCTTGTAAGTGGTGTATTGTTCTTTTTTCTCTCTCTTTTTTGAGTCTATATGAGAGAGCCATCTTCCCAGTTTATTTGCTTGCTCGAAATAGGTTTGTTTGGCTGCTTTTAGATTTTTCATCATTTCTTCCTGTTCTACTATATTGAGTTTGTGTTTGGTTGAAGTCAATTGTTCTTTAAGTCTGATATTTTGTGGGGTATTTTGGAGTTGAGTTTCTAGATTTTTAATTATTTTCTGTAGGTTATTTTGTTGAATCCACCTTTCTTTGTTTCCTTTAGCTGTATAGGATATTATAATCCCACGAGTGTAGGCCTTCATTGTGTCCCACATATTTTGTGTTGATGAGTGCTGTCTATTGTTTTCGTTAAAGAATAATGTTAACTCTTCTCTAAGTTTTAGAACAAGTTCTTTATCTTTTAATATTTGTGTATTTAAGGTCCACCTTCACCTCGTTTTTTTTCGGACTCTCCAGATTATTTTGATCGGATTGTGGTCTGCCCAAGAGCTTGGTAATATTTCTATGTCTTCCACTTCTCCTCCTATGTCTCCGCCCATCAAGGGCATATCAATATGTGACCACGATTGATGTGGGTTGGAATAAAAAGTAAACTGTCTTTTTTCTGGGTTCAATTTTCTCCAAACATGTATCAAATTAAGCTCTGTAATCATATCGAGACATGCTTTTGGTAGTTCTTTTCTTTCCTTTTTTCTTCTCACCTCTATAATCTTTTTTACAATCTGCTATTGCATTATAGTCTCCTGTGATGCATATTTTTTGTTCTAATTCAATAATTTTATTGTGTAACATTTTATAAAACTCTTGCTGGTTTTTGTTGGGTGCATAAACTACTACGAATAGCACCGGTTTAAAGGCTATTAACACTTCCATCATCAAAATTCTTCCATTGGAATCTGCAAAGATTAGTTTTGTTTTTATTTCCTCTTTGATATACACTGCTATTCCTTTTCCCCCCCCCATCTGCTAAGGCGGTATATAATTTTCCTAATTTAGGACATTCTAGATATTTTTCATCTGCTTTTTGAATGTGTCTCTTGTAAACATATTATGTCTACTTTTTGTTTAATTAATTTTGCTAATGTTCTTTTTCTCTTTATTGCCGAATTTAAACCATTTATATTGTTCGATAATAATTTCACTTCTTCTCCCATCCTCTTAATTGTATCTGGCTCTTTGTCATCTACTCGCCCTTACCTCTCTTTGGGTTCTACTTATTGCCTTTAGGTCCTCTTGTTCCAATTGTTGTTGGTCTGTCTCTTCTATTCTCTGATCTCCTTCCTTATTCCCTTGTTGTTGTTGTTCCTGTTCCTCCTGGCTAATGGATTCGATCTCTTCCTTGCTGCTTGGGTCTTCCGGTCCAACTAGTTGATCATAAAAATCTTGTGCTTTCTTTAAAGCATCGATTTTGATCTTCTTTTCTTCCCATGTAACAAACATCCCCTCCGGGACCAGCCATCTGAAGAGAATGTCCTGCTTGGTCAATTGGTTGGCCAGAAATCTGTAGCCGCGTCTCTGCTCCCTCACCCTCCTTGGGACCTGTTTTAATGTCTGCATCTCTTTCCCCTTGTAAATGATGGGTTCATCTCTTATTATCCTGTATATTATGTCCCGGACCTTTCTCCTTGTAAACCTTATATGGACTTCTTTTGGCAGCTTATGTCGTCTGGCATAGTTTGTGCTCACCCTATAAACATCGTCCGTTTCGTTCAGTATTTTGTTCTTATCTTGCTGTAGTGTTTCTGATAGTACTTTGGTCATCACCAGTTCCAAATTTTCTTCCTTGGCTTCAATTACATTCTGGAACCTAAGGTACGACGCTGCCCGGTCCATCTCTAGATGGATCAGAGAATCTTCCATTTCTTTGTTTATTATTTTCTTTTTTTGGTCGACCATTTCTAATCTTTTCTCCGTTTGTTCCATTCGTTTTTTGAATTCTTTTATTGTACGTTCATTCTTTTCTAAGGCAGGCTGAATTGAGCCAACTTTCTCATCTAGTTTTGATATGTCTAGTTTCATTTCACTTTTTAGCTTTCCCATTTCCTCTTTTGACTTCATTTATATCCACCTTCATTTCAGTATGGCTCTTCATCATTGTTTCCTGGAGCTTTAACATCAATTCTTGTAAAGTTAGTGTGGTTTGTATATTGATATTTGAAACTGGACTCTGTTTTTCTAACGTTAGCATCCCTTCAATTGTTTTTTGCGTTAGGGTTGAGGCTGTCATCGCTGAAGTTGTTGGCACGGGGGTGGTCTTCTTCCCGGTCTTCACCGTCGTAGTAGTGATGCTAGTCATTTCTTTTAATATTTCAGTTTGTTTCCTTAAGATACTATAGATATTGTCCCAAATCAGCATCTAACTTCAAAAGCTTATCAATGCTACACTCCTAATTATTATAGCTCCTAGGAATTTCAGTTTTTCTATTTAAAGGTCTTAGCAGTCCTATAAAATCTTAATGTAGTAGAGTTCCTTTAACTTCAATTACTATAAAATATAAAAAATGTTTTTTTTAGAGAAATTATAAATTTGTATAACTTTGTATATAATATGTACTGTAAAATACTCATTCAAACAATTGCAATTATCCCCAATTCATCCACAATTATCAATAACAATTATCCCCCTCATTAATATTTTAGAATAAGAAATGAATCCAACTATATAAATGTATATAAATATATGAATAGATATAAGTATAAACTATAAATATATTTATTAAATATGATTACAGTTATCCCCCCATTTGATGTTTTTAAGTAAAAAGTTTACCCAACTGTATAAATATAAAGAAATATATATAGATATAAATATATATAAACTATGAATATGGTGAATATAAATACAATTAATTAAATACAGTTCAGATTAATGGAAATATTAAACTCTAGGTCTCTAATCAAATATTTTTAATTTCTATAAACTATTTTTCTAGGTATCAATCTGTTACTAAGTTTATGTAGGTATCAGCACTTATTTCGTTAAATCTTTAAATCAACTGTAATTAAACAGGAGAAAGAAGAGGAGGAAAAAAAAGAGAAAAAAAGAGACTAAAAAGAAAGTTCAATGATTCAATAATTCATCAGTGATTACGCTCGTGTTTGCTTTCCACCAGTTCAATTCTCTTATCTTAAAGGCACAGTTGCTGAGTAATGGTTGTTCTCCTCAATGGACGTTTGTCCCCTCCGTTACTCCAGCTGCTTCCTTTTATGTTCTTCACTCTCCTTGACAAAGTTTAAAGTCTACAGCCAGGTAATTAGCGCTTAATACGGTCACGTCCCGTTCTTCTTTTGAGTCTAAAGGCTTTGGAAGATTACCATTCTTTTCTCCCCCTTTTGTTCGTCTCAAATCTCCTAGTTCCTCTCTCAGGCAATCCGCTGCTCCCTGATCACTCTCCGATCACTCTCACCTCCGCCCGTTCGCCGCTCTTCCGGAGCTTTAATCTGCCTTCTCCCACCTCTTTTGCCTTCCAGTTTACAAACCTTCTTCTAGGCAGTCTCTGCTTGTCGCGGTCACTCTGTGCACCATCCGATCTGCTATCTGCCACAGCTTGTTGTCTTCAAAACTTGCTTCCTCCTCTCAGCTAGGCTATCAGGACTTCGGGGCCACCATTCAAGGATTGCAGCCTCTTGTGTGCTGGGCTCTGAGGGCTTCTCTTCATCGCGGGGGTGGTCACCCTCCACCGCTCTGCTTCTTGAGTTTTCCCCACGCCATCACAGGTCTCTCCGGGATCCGTGCACCCCACAGGGTTGCTCCAGCACCAAGAAAAAGGGGTGAAGAACAGAGCCCGTTCTTCCTCGCCTCTCTTCGTCCTGACGTCACCACAGTTGAAAACCTTTTAGTTTTAATTAGGTGAAAAACGCGGGAATATCCAGAGTCGGTTTTCACCAGCCTGTGCCAATATCACATGTCCAATAAAACTATTCTTTAAGGATCTTACTTGCCTCGGAGTTCTGTTTGCTATGGGCATATTACTTGGAACCCTGACACGTAATTTGGGTGATAACAGACTTGTTCTCCAAACAAGTGCACTTTGTGCCCTGCCAAAAAAATCCACTCTGAACACACCCTGGCAAAACTGTTCATGCAGCATATTTATAGATTGCATGGAGCCACCGAAAGGATAATCTCAGACTGCAGAGTTCAATTCAATTCACGGGTTTGGCAAGAGTTTTAAAAACTTTCGGTGACCACTCAGTGGCTTAGCGCCATGCTTCATCTGGAAACAAATGGAGCCAGTATTTGAATGTATGAACGGGGTCCTGGAACAATACCTCAGATCCATGATGGCAAACCTATGGCACGTGTACCAGACGTGGCATGCAGAGCCCTTTCTGTTGGCATGCACACTGTCGCCCCAGCCCAGCTCCAATCACGTTTCTCACATTTCACTCAATCAATTCCAACTTCTCGTGAAAGAAAAAGATCTCGCAAAGTTGGAATTGATTGAGTGAACTTGTCAGAGCGTTTGCAGCGTGACTACTATTATGAGACAACCCAGGAGCAAATCACAGCACACAGAGACTTAGGCATTTAACAGTGGTTTATATACAAGACATATAGAGAGATATACGTGGTAAGCAAATACCTGACAAGCAATCAATCTTCTTAACTCTACATGGAGAACTCTGCAATGGATACAGGACACAAGGAGAGAGAATACGCCCTCTAATGGATGCCTTATATAAACACCTCTTAAAGTGGTAAAACTTCTGTGGACCCCTTCTTAGTCTAAAACTGGCAACACCAATGCCAATTCATCTTCATTGCATCAGCCTTACACTGCATCCGCTTTACATTGCATACAGCTGGTCAGCTCTTAAATCCCAATACCTTAACAGCACTTTTGCACTCGCGCGCTTCACAATGGGGGAGGCGGGGTCCCGTCCTCGTCCTGAAGCCCATTATGACACGGAGCCACAATGTGACCCATACGGCTCTTTCACCTCTCTGCTGCAGCTCCCTGTCGTGGCAGAGGGATGAAAGAGCTGTTGCCCTGTCATGGCAATGGGTGGAGCCTTAGTCCGGGAGCGAAGCGCCCCTACACTTGCCTTTGCGCAGCAACAGGATTCTGCCTTCATCGTGGAATTTGCTGTTGCCACCAGCAAAGAGAGCTGGGAGAGAACGGCGGGGGCGGTTCTTGTGGGATGGGGGCCATCGCCCAAGCCTGGCCTTCCTTCTCATTTGTCAGCGGGGCCAAGAGAAAGAAGGGACCGGCATGGGAGAGCACTCCCTTCCCCCAGCTGAGCGCCGAGCACAAAAGCCCAGCGAGGGGGGCGGCTGCCCTGGCAGAAGCACCCCCATTGGAGAGTCGGACAGTGAAGAGGCGTGGCCCGGCTCTCACAGCTGGACACTGTTCGGCAGCTCTGCCTTTGAAATGTGCCGCACCTTTGAGGAAGTCGGGCAGCGATAGCTGGGGCCGTGGGAGGGGCAGCGCAGGCGTCAGGGCTGCTCCCCCCTCCTCAGCAAGCCAGGCCTGGAGGAGCATGGAGTGTCATCGGCTGAGCGCCGGAGGATCAGAAGGCACACTCTGATGTCGTCCCAACATGCGTTTCCACCACACACTCCTCTGTCCTGAAGTAGGATTGAGTGGGGGGAAGGGAGCAGGGGGAAGGGGGCTTCTAGGAGGAGAAGCCCGGTTGGCTTTCCTTTTGGCATAGGGTGGGGGGAAGACCCAAGAAAAATCCAATTTCCCCCAATAAATGGGGAAAATAAAGGCCCGGTGGTCCAGAGTCCAAAAACAGGGGTGGGGTCTGTTCGTCGGAGGATCAGAGAGGAAATAAGTTGAAATCTGGGTGGGACGCTATTCAGAGAGGGATCTGCCTGGGTCTCTTCTTCCCTGCCCCCATAGATTCCCCCTCCTCCTAACTTTCTTCCCTAGCCTCGTTTTAAAGGGAGGGGGAAGCAAGGTGGGACAATAGTAGCTAAAAGGCTGCAAGGGGGGTTAGGGTTTATTAAAGACGGGATGGGAAAAAGATGTCATTCCTTTTCCAATGACCGAGGGAAAGTGAAATAAAAATAGGTGTGTGTTTGTGTGTAAATAACAGCCCAGGATAGCTTCAGCCACAAACCACAGCTGCTGTTATTTTTGCTGAGAGCTTCTAAACTACACAGCATTCTTTAATAAATACTAACAATAATGAACCATAATATACAGGATTAAAGGAAGGAAGGTGAAATCAGAGGAGGGAGGGAGGGAGGAAGGAAAAAGAAGGAAGAAGGATGTGATGGCCCTTCAGAGGCTACTGCACTATACTCCCATCATTCCTGAGTTGTGCTGTTAAAGAAATCCAGAGCCACCAGGGAGAAGTCAAGTTGTGAAAGAGTGACTGAAATTCCTCACAAAACCTCATTATTCAGGTTAAATTGCCATGCTGGCACTTTGTGATAAATAAGTGGGTTTGGGGTTGCAGTTTGGACACTCGGTCCCTAAAAGGTTTGCCATCACTGCCTCAGATGCTACATTAATTACCAACAAGACAACTGGACAGACCTCCTTCCATTCGCTGAGGTCACTTACATCATCTCAGTACACAGCAGCACTGGGTTTCCCACTTTTAAGGTGGCCATGGGGAAGGACTTTGTATCTATCCCTGAACTACCCCAGGCCTCTCCAGCAACAGCCTCCTTGAAATAATGGACCACACAACTACAGAACACCTCACCGGTAGTAAGGAAAGCTCTAGAGGAAGCGAGGGAGGCATATAAAAAGCAAACTGACAAAAAGTGTGTGAAACCAAAAGACTTTAAAGTTGGAGATAGGGTCTATTTATTTACCAGGTATTTGCAGTCTAGACAACCTCCCAAAAAGCTGGGTCCAAAGTACGTTGGCCCTTCCCCTATCAAAAGGCTTGTTAATCCAGTGACTGTGGAGCTCGGACTACCAAAAACCCCTAAGGCGCATTCATCCAATCTTCCACTGCGGTCTCCTGAAACCAGAAATCACTTCCTCCCTATGCCCAAAACCACAACCACCTCCTCAACCCATTGTGATCAAAGGAGAGCAATATTTTGAGGTTAAGGAGATATTTGAGTCACAAACACAGAGGAAAAACCCAGTATTTAGTGGCTTGGAAAGACTTCCCTCCTTCAGAAATTGAACGGGTTGACTCCAAACACATTAAGGCATCCAAACTACTTAAAACTTCCACAACAATATCCTGATAAGCCTAGATGACCATCCAACTAATTATGTATTTTATGAGTTTCTCCCTCCCTTTCTGCAGGACTAATGTTTCTGTCAAAGGGGGCAGCATGTCAGGCCTGCCATCTTCAGCTTAGAACTTTGCTGGCATCTTGCCGTCAAAGGCTGGGGGGAAGGGGCATGGGGGGATGAACAAATGGGCAATAAACCTGTGTCAGTATGTGATGGGAAATAGGGAGGGAAGAAATGACAGCTTGACGAAGAACAGAGGTCAGAACCAGTTTGTGCCAGCACCCAAGGCCAAGAAAATTTGTATAAAAAGATATTTTGTTGGTATTTGACCCCAGATAGACTAGTGAAAATGTATAAAGGGACTTCTAATAAGTGCTGGAAAGATGATACAACAGCATATTGATTTAAAACCAGAAATATTCCTTTTGGGGATCTTACCTGAAACTTACAGTAAGGAAAATGTATATTTGATTATTCATGTGGTAACTGCAACAATAATTGTATTTACGTAAAATTGGAAAAATGAACAGACTCCTACTGAAGAAAAGGTGATTAGGAAAATACTAGAATGTACACAAATTAACACTTGTAATTAAAGAAAGAGAGCAAACTGAATACTATAAGGTATGGGAATTATTTTATCAATGGTTAGAGAAAGTGATATTAAGTAAAATAAATATAAGATTAGAAAATAACACTATGTAATGAATGACTGTAAACACTAACTGTATTGCACAAGATATTTGTATGCAGATGACACGTTGTCAAATGGAAGAAGTTAAGTTTGTAATAAAAATAAAAAAATTATATATATAAAAGATTAATCTGGAAGATAAATACGGTAAAGATTGTATGGAAAAATGGGCAAAATGTGGGTAAAGTGTAACGCTAGATAAATGGGAGTATGGGCGAATGGACTAAAATTTACATTAAATTATAGCTTGAAAGAATTGTTTTTATAAAATGATATTTTGTTGGTATTTGACCCCAGATAGAGAAGTGAAAATGTATAAAGGGACTTCTAATAAGTGTTGGAAATGTAGTCCAAATCCAGGTTCATTTTACCATATCTTGCAAATATGTGAAAACATACTGGACAAACATGACAATGCGGTAATCTTAATCTTGAAGCTAACCGGGGTGTGGAGGAGATGGGAGCAGCAGGCAAATAGGCTCTCTGCTTAACTAAGATTAAATTAACCTATTGTAATTATTGCTTGCTTTTAAGGCTATTTTTCTATCATATCTTAGTCTTCAAATTTTTATTTTTATTTTTAAACCCTTTACATTTTTGAAATTTTTGCAGTGTGATCACTAATCCACTTCTAATTATATTTCAGCTACGGTTTAGCTGTATTTTTTAAAAAAGCCCGAGCTGGGCCTCAGCTATAGGAGGGCCTTGCTGCTGCTTCTCTGTTGTTGTTCTACAGATCTTACTCCTTTAGCTGGAAGTCTAGCAATGCCTAGCTTCAATGTGATTTCTCTTATCTGATTTATTCTATTTTTATCCACTATTTTTATTATTTTATCATTTTTATTTACTCATGTTCCCTGCTCTGTTGGGAGGGCAGGATCCTTGGTATACTTGTGAGGAGCTCTGCCATTGTTTGCATTAGGACTCGTTTCTTCTCGACTCCCGATTCCTTTTCCTCTGGATTTAGGACTTGTTTCAGTGACTAGACTCTATGCTATATTACACAGCTCCTCCTCTATTGTGCTACTTAATATAATGAAGACAAGGAAAAGGAGCAGATCTCTCACTGACCTGGTTCCTCAACCTTCTCTGAAGCAATCCAAGATTGAGGACTTTGTTTTAGCTCAGCCGCTTGGTTTGAAAGCTCCTGCTCCCTTTTGTCTGGCTGCTGCCGGTTGTCGCGATCTTCCGATGGTTGAGGGTGTCGCCCCCCAAGTTGAGAACAAAGGCTTATCTAAAACTACAGCTCCCAACCAATCCTTAAATGAGCCCACCCTTACAAAACTTTTGGCTCAGCAATGTTTCTTGGTTGCAGAAACTACAGCGAGCATTCAGCTCCAGCTTGATAAAATATTAAGTGCTTTAAACTACTTAAGTTTCCTGGACTACCAGTGGGTGCCCTGGGTTGACCGCTCAGCAGCCTGATGCGGTGGCAGGGTTCTCCATGCCAAGCCTCAGCAAAAGCACTGGCCAACATAATCCTACCAATAGTTCGAACTTTACATCTTTTGACACAGTCACCTGGACTTAGTCAAAACAGGTGGCCCTCATCATTAATCCCATTAATGGCAACTTACCTCACTGGGGTTCAACACAGCTGGCGAGGGGCCATATATTACAGTTATTGGGGCTAAAAGCTGATGATTTGAAGAAGGTTGAACTTTTACCCTCTCCTGAATACTGCACTAGAATGCTACTCAGTTTTGACAACTCTAACACCCCAAAACTATTTTTCAGAAGAGGATCCCTGTTAAGATCCTTCAGCATTCTGCCAAGAGGAGTCTTCAAAGATATGTCGATTAAGCCACTCTTGAGTAATTGACAATTTGTGAGTGGCAGGAGATTTATTGCCCCCAAAAGATCCTCAGCAGCACATATTAATGTGCCAACCTTGAATGCCACCTCGGATACTACATCACGTACTAATTATACACCTATTCCCGCAAAACCTCCAGTTGGCGTCCTCTCAGATGGTAGCCTGACTGTTCCTCCTACATCCGGTCAAATTAACCCCCTGCAGCGAGTAATATCTTACCAGGAAGCGTCCCTTGACTTGATCAGCTGGGAATAAATGGCCCCAAAGGAAGCGACACCAGCCCAGGGCACCCAAGGTTCCTTAGTAAATAAGCCCCAGGTCAGTGCCTCTGGGATTCCATCCATTTATGAGACTGACTTATGTCAAGACAATTTCTGGAACCAGGAGACACAGCTCTTCAACTCCTTCTGTGCGCTTCCACAACCAGAAAAGGCCCAAATCATAAAGCGTGTGGATGCAGTTAAATCCAAGCTGTGGAGTCATTACCTGATAAGGATTCCCTTGGTCTCCAGGGAGTCTATACTGATTTACCAACAGAAGCTCCCTTGGCGCTTTCTCCAGAATGTCTAATTCGTAAATTTGAAGATCCAGGGCTACTTCAAACTCCGTCTGTTGCTGCTGCTGAATACTTGCCAGCTAAGCAACCAATTAATGCCACAAGTACGAACTGGAGTGCGTTAAGAGCCTTACAGCCGCATGAACAAGTCTCCTCTCCCCTCCCTCCTTCCCTGCCTTTGCCTCCTAAGAGGATGACCCTGCCACTTAACAACGGGTGTATCTTTTCAGATCCAAAGGGCGGTCTGGAAAAAATTAATCACACAGAATGACAATTAAATCTGGCAACCCCCCCTGCACACTTAAAATGCCTTTTGTGAAACATAGCAGGTTGGGGGAGAAGGTGTGGTACCACAGAATTCGCCAACTATATTCACTCATTTGATGTGGTCCTGCTTCAGGAGACCTGGGCATGCGATATCCCTTACAGCAGGGGTCCCCAACCACAGGGCCGCGGACCGGTACCGGTCCGTGGAACATTTCCTACCAGGCCGCCGGTTTGCTGGGCGCCACCATCTTGTTTGACGAGAAAGTGCTTCCGGGTGAGCTTTTCCGGTTGGAAAGTGGCATTTGGGTCCTGAAGGAATCCTCGCGCCTTAGTTTCATCGAAGGGGGGGGCTTCGAACGAAACTAAGGCGCGAGGATTCTTTCAGCACCCAAGGCAAGGCGAGCCGAGCGACCGTCCCGAAGCCATCCCGAAGCGAAGCCCATCGACAAAGGTACAAAGGAGGAGTTGAAGGTGGCGGGGAGAAGCGGGGGATAGCTGGCTGGCCAGTCGCTCGGCTCGCCTTGCCTTGTCATGCGTGCTGATGCTGGTACCGGGCCGCGGATCATTTTGTGATGCCAGTACCGGGCCGTGGCACAAAAAAGGTTGGGGGCCACTGCCTTACAGGGTTTACAGTCATTTCCTTGGCCGCCACCAGACAATCTACAACAGGAAGGCCTAAGGGTTGTCTAGCTTGCTTGGTCTCTACTTCTTTGAAAGTGGAGACAGTGGAGCTGCCCCCCTATGGCTCTTTAGCTATGGCACTCCTAAGAGAGGACGCAGCAAACTGTTAGTGTTCAATGTTTATCTTCCCCTGACAATGAGGCAAGATGATACTAAGGCTCAATGGGGCATGCTGGAGAATTACATTACTTGTATGGAAACTAAATTCCCAGCGCTGTACATCCTTATAGGGGGCAACTTTAACACCCGATTGGGAGTCCAAGTTCCCCCAACGACTGAGGCACTCTACTACCAAGAAACCCTCCAGGCCATAGGACACCTGATTTCAGCCAGACATTCTAAGGATGAATTAACAAATTTTGCTGGCATTCAGTTAGCCCTTTTAGCAGCCCAACACAATAAGATAATTCTTAATGGGAGTACCCTAGGTGATCTAGCTGGTGAGTTTACTTTTAGTTCCTCACGTGGGAGTAGTGTTATTGATTTTGTGCTGGTATCCCAGCTTCTTAGAAAGGCAGTCTGTGCTTTTTATGTGGACTGCCTTACGGAGAGCGACCACTACCCCCTGGTTACAATCA